AACCGTCGGCATCGGACTTATCGAAGGTGATGACTATCTTCGAGTCCTCATACCGTTCGTGGGCGATGGTCCGCTTTAGCCTGTGTGTGGTGGCGAGTTTGACGTGAATTGATCGCTGCTGTCGCCGCCTCCGACGATCATGTTTATCGTGCGAGTTGGGGAAGGTGGCTTTGGCGGTCCTGGGGACTGTTCTCGTCCGCGTGCTCATTTATTTTTCCTTTGTCACTTGAGTAGCTCCCTTAGGATCCCTGGTTTAGCATCCTGACCATCTTGCGTAGGCCGATTGCACATCTTCGGTTTTGTGCCTCGTTCCTGATGGAACTACACACAGGGCGTTTGATTTCCTTGTGCAGGGTCTTGATTTTCATCTTTTGCGGCCAGTGCACCTTGGTGCCTAGCTTCTCCAGTGCGTACACTAACTCTGAAGGAGACACACAAAATTTATGGGCCGTTAATAAAGGGAGGGCTACCTTTTTCGTTTCGTAGTGGCGACCTGTTCGCTGTAGTGCGTCTGTGTGCCTTGGGGCGGATGGGAGGATCTGATGTACGGCTTGATGTCGCTCTCTGTTGGAATGAGGGAGTGGTTCCCGTTCGTCCTTTACGTTCCGCATCTCTTCCTCCGTTTCTCAATGTATCGCCGTTAACCGTTGGGTCGGCCCGTTTAGGTCATCCTCGTCCGCTCGCACCTCTGCGCAATAAGCGTTATGGATTTCCTCCCATGTGGTAGGGGGATATTTCATGAGGCGGCTCAGCAGTTTCTTGGTCGCCCTTGAACCATTTCTGCTTAGCCCGTTCTGGAAAGCGGCGACTGCCATACCCTCCGATACATTTGGTAGGCTCATTCTTACCCTGTTAAACCTTGCCAGGAAGTCCCTGAGTCCCTCGCCTGCGTTTTGCCTGATGGCGAAGATGTCGTTTACCCTGGCTTCTGCTTTCTTCGCGCCTGCATGGGCTGTGACGAATTTATCCGCCATTTCCTCGAACGTTGATATCGCTTTAGCCGGTAGCTGAGAGTACCATGTTAAGGCCCCTCCTGTCAACGTCTCGCCAAACTTCTTCAGTAGTACTGAAGGTACCTGTTCTTTTGATAGGTCGTTGCCTTTCACGGCAGTGACGTAGTGGATCAGGTGGTCCTCGGGATCGGTGGTTCCGTCATAGACCCTCAAGTATGGAGGCATTTTGAAGGTTTTAGGGGTGGAGTGAGGAGCAACTTCTTCGGTGTATAGTTGTTCGACGAATCTTCCTACGTCGCGTTTTGGTAGTAACTTGGGAGCACCGGGGATCTTGTCGACCCTCTCTTGATGTTCCTTCATCTGATCGCGGAGTGCCTCGTTTTCATTTTCTATTTCTTCCATCTTCTTTAAGATGGCTGTTAGCGTGCCATTGTTGGTTTGCGTCTCGATGGGTCTGTTATTTACCAGTGTAACTTCTGGTTCACCCACCGCAGCAATGGTACCTACCATTGGTGTAAATACGACGTTACTTTGCGGTGGCTTTTCAATCAAGCCACTTAAAGCGCTTGTTAGCCATCTTTCCAATAGCTCTTTGACCGCAGAGGGTGCTTCCGTGGCTGTAGATGTGGAAGCTCCCTTGCGTAAGATCGTCAGACCTTCGGATGGGGAAGGAGAGATCTCTGCACTTGGTGTGATGCTTGGGGTTTCATTCAGGATGCCATCGTCACTGGCCTCGTTGAGAGGACCTAGGAGATTGGTTGTGACACCCATTATGGCTTTCGATCTGGCGTTGTTTTCGGCCATTTCCTGTTTTTGAGTGGTGTAGAGAATAGTGGTTGGTTGATCTCTAGGTGGATACTATGGTTTTGATTCTCGAAATCCCCACAGACGGCGCCAAATTGTTTGGCTTAAAAGTTGTTGATGCACTTTGTAAGCGATAAAACAATCAAAAAATAGAGGAAGGGAAATCGTAATCAAATATAATAATCCTAGAGATGCAAAGATGATAATGTTTGTTATAGATCCAGTGTTAGAGGGATGACAATGTATGTTCATAAGATATATTAATCGGAAGTAGAGATAGAGAGAGAGAAAGATATAAAATGAGAGAGTTGTATTAGATCAGATAGATCACTCTTTACAATGTGGAGGTCTCCTTTATATAATAGAAGACCTTCCTCGAAAGAATCAAAAGGTTACAGAGATAGGTAACGTCTTTCTGGTGTAGACGCTGAGTTCTAAACGACGCCGCTTTCGTCCTCACGGCCGAGTCGTACCCGCTACGTTGGTCGGCGTACACTCATTGGGCGCGCCCGCTGGCGTAGAGATACTGAGGGTTAAATTTGACACTATACACCCTTGTCAAATCAATTCCAATTCACACGTTAACAATTTATACTACACATTTTATGTAAGCCAAACAATTACTTTATTTACAAAGCTAAAAAAATTTCTTTCTTTTTATATGAGAAAGTCTACTTTTATACTAAAAATACTAAATATTTTTTTAAATACCTATAAATCGGGGTTTTGCATCTATACACAGTTTTAGGGTCACAATTGAACCTATACCACTTTGCAAAAAAGTTTGCAAGCGTATCCACTTTACGAGACTTCAGACTTATGAGTCTGAAGTTAAAAAAAATGCCTGAAGTGAAAAAATTGCACTTCAAATGCACTTAAGGCCAAATAGGTCTGAAGTGCAACCAATGGTTTCATGCACTTAAGGCTAATAAGTATGAAGTGAAAAATTGCACTTTAGATGCACTTAAGGCCAATAAGTTTGAAGTGAAAAATTGTACTTCAAATGCTAAGGCCAAAAAGTCGGAAGTGCAACAAATGTTTTCATTCACTTAAGGCCAATAAGTCTGAAGTGAAAAAATTGCACTTTAAATGCATTTAAGGCCAAATAGGTCTGAACTGCCAATAAGTCTGAAGTGAAAAATTGCACTTCAGGTGCACTTTAGGCCAAAAGGTCTGAAGTGCAACAAACATTTTGCAATACTTAAGACCAATAAGTCTGAAGTAAAAAATTGCACTTCAAATGCACATAAGGCCAAAAGGTCTGAAGTGCAACAAACATTTTGCTACACTTAAGGCCAATAAGTCTAAAGTGACAAATTACACTTCAGATGCACTTAAGGCCAAAAGGTCTGAGGTGCTATAAACATTTTCATTCACTTAATGCCAATAAGTCTGAAGTGAAAATTGCCCAGAAATAGAAATTTGTTCTTCGAATTATAACAATCCAATATATGATTTAATACCTAAATAAACTCCAAATGAGCTCAAATTTGAAAAATAACCTCCAAATATCATCAGGAACAAACCCCAATCATCAATTTGTCAAAACAACAATAAATCTAATGAACCCATTTAGTAATTAAGAAAAATAAGAAGAAGAAACCCTAAGCAATAGTAAAAAAATAAAGCGTCATAACAGCTCACAATTGTAAAATATCATAAACTACAATATATTTACAACCACCATATAAAATCATTGTCACCCGAAGAAGAAGAAGGAGGAGAAGAAGAAAACGAAGGAGAAGAGGAGGAGAAAGAGGCTTGAAGTTGTTTAAAAAATGGGTACAAGTTAAAACTTTTTTAAAAAGTCGATATAGGTTAAATGGGGGCGACCAAATAAGGTGCCCGTGCAATTTTTACCTATAAACCTATTATTTTTAAAAAATAGGGCCTCCCAAATTTGGGGCCTAAGGCAAGTACAAGCCTTATTAACTACAACATTAGAGCTGGCCATGGACGTTAGACACAATTTTGTTTATCAAATACGGAGGAAAACACTTCTCAAATCAATTGATTAAACACAAATTGCTATGTCCAAAAAGTACTTGATCTCTAAAAAGTTATTTTGATAAAAGTAATAAACAGATTTTGAATACTTAATCAAACATATTTAAATGGAATCTCTTATGTACACGAGATAAAGATCTGAATTAGGGAAACGCGCTATTGGCCTGTCAAAGATGTTTTAAATTGATATACTTTTTTGTTTGTTAAACACGAGTTCCGCTCATGCTCATATAAAGTAATACTATATCATATATCGTATATTTCAAGTCGTTATAAATTATCGCTGAAAAGGTTATATAAAGGTGGGGGTAGTCGCTAGTATTCATTTTAAGATATGGAGACGGCGAAAATGTGTAGAGGATTGGTGATGCTCAGCGTAATGGTGGCTGTAGCCGTACTTTGCAGCCACCGGCTGGCTATGGCAGAAGAGGTGGCCGAGCAGTTTGACAGTGAGCTTGCGCAAGTAAGTTCTCAATCTTCTTTCATATACTTGGGAGAATTGCCAAACCTCTATCTTTAGGCGCACACGTTATTTACACTAAATCACAATTAGTTTATTAGTTGAAGTGATAGACTAAGGTGAGAATATATACTTTAATTTTTAACCATGATCAAGTGGAAAAATAAGACAAATTTATATTGCAAACACATATATCATGCATTTACTAAGTTATTGAATATGGAGTATCAAACAGGGATCAAATAAGTTTTTGGTTCTGACCTGCTATAGACATGTAAAGCAGGTAGAACCCATAGAATTTAAATTTTGGATTCGCCTCCTGACACTATTGTTTGACTCAAAAGTAATTTAACACTTCTTAAGCAAATCAATCAAATAGATGAAGGGGTAAATCCTAGTTAACTCTAGATCCGAGACGAATAATATGAGTAGAAAAACATAGTCGAGTATAAATATTGGGCGTGATTATAGCCAGATTTACTAACATAAAGAAAGATGCATTGAATAACATTAAATGGCAATAAAATGTAGATAAAGGAAAAGATTCACCCGATCTTGAGTTAGTCGGATCTTCTTTCATTTGATAAAGATGAATGATAGACAAAATACAAGAACCATTGGACCCTTTTTGGATCTGATGAAGGTTTTGGATCGCAGATCCTCTTCTCTCTTTTGAGAGATGTGTTTACATATTTTCTAGAAAGAGGGAGAGGTAGACCGAGCGAGAGCCCCTTTTTGGGAAGACCCCCCCTCCTATTTATAAGGGGGGTATCCATAGAAAATCCTTACAAAAGGTACACTTTAGAGAGAATATTCGGTAGAATATTCCTTTTGAGTATTCTAAAGCAAACTAGCAGTTTCATGACTGTCCGTCCTCGGCCTATCCAACCACGACTGTATGGGGTCAAATTTGACCGTCAGCGTCTCTACATCAATGGGTACGCCCAGTGAGTGTACGCCGACTAACGTAAGGGTACGACTCGGACGTGGGGACAAAAGCGACATCGTTTAGGACTCAGTGTCTTCACTAGGAAAACGTTACCTATTTTTGTAACTTTTTGATTATTTCGAGGAAGGTCTCCTATTATATAAGGGAGACCTTCACATTGTAAAGAGGGGGACTCCAGAATAATACAACTCTCTCATTTTCTGACTCTCTCTATCTCTGCCTCAAACGAACATATTCTCTTGAGTTCATATTATCACTGTATAATACTAGATCTACAACAATAACATCATCTTTACATCTCTAGGTCTACTATATTTGATTACGATTTACCCTTCCCTTATTTTTGATTGTTTTCTAGCTTACAAAGTATATTGTTAGCTTTTGAGCCAAACAACGACCTTCTTGATGACGGTCCGGCCTTGGCTTTACTGATGACGGCCCGACCTTGGTCTGTCCGACCTTGGCTTTATTGATGACGGTCCGACCTTGGCTTTATGTCTTCATGTGCCGAATTTCTCTGGTCTAGTTTTGACCCATACAACTATAAACTTGCTATGGACATGTAAAGCGTGGACGATGGGATGCTAGTTGCAGGAAGTTCGTGCCTTGTGTGCAGAACCCAAGTAGCAGCTGCATAACCGAATGCTGCGACTCATTCAACTTCTGGGCTCCCCTTCCACAAAAATGCAGCTGCTGGCGTACTGCCCGAAACACTAATAGAGAAGCTTTATATGCTCTTCAAAATTATTGTGGCTTCCAGCCGCCTACACTTTGTCCACATTTGCAAGTTAGTAAATTTTCTGCCTTTTTGTCTTCTTCACATTAGTCATTATTCACTCCTTTATGTTAAAATACCTTTAAGTCCTATACATCGATAGTGTAAATGATACCTTACAGAATTAATGAGATTACATGTAAGGTATTTACAGATAGATTTTCATGACAAGCATTACTTGGTAACTCAGTAAAAATTGTCATATACCCTACTATAGTGAAGGATGCAGGATTTTTTTCAAAGGGAGTTCAACGTCTACTATATATATACATATAAGAAAATTGATCTTGCATACACAGTGTAATTTTCCGGCGACCCGCTTCTGCCCCTACTCTAGCTACTATCATAGGTTCAACAACAGAACTGTAATGTAAAACATAAACACATCGGAAGAGCACTAAGAAAATCTTCTCTGTTTAGGAGTACATTTTTTTCTCAACTTTTCTTTTTATAAAATTCAAAAGACAAACCAATAATTCACCCCACATGTTCTTTCTTGAATTTATATGACACAAAGTGCCTTACCAAAAACTAAAGGATCAGTGAAAACAAATGAGTTCCATTTTTTATTTGTCTTCTGAGAAATATTATACTACAAGTTAAATACAAAGTACTGTATAAATTAGTTTCACCCTCACAAATGTAATGTGAAAATCAAGCAGCTGCAAGAGGTGGCGGAAACTAGGGAGGCCATAGACAGCAAGAGCAGTAGCAACCAGCAGGCGGCTACTTGTTGTGCTAAAGATAAAGAAAAGATAAAGAGTTGCATGTTTAACACAGCTTCCATTGACCAATGTTGCCCAACATTCAAGATAATGCTTGGCCGTAATTGCGACTGCTACAATTACGCCAAGAATTTAGACAATCAAGCTCTCATCACACTTGAGAGCTACTGTGATGTCACCGATCCATGCAATAAAGCTCAAGTAATTACTCCTCTTTTTCTCTTCTTAATTAATTCTTTTCACATCATGAATGACTCCTTCATTATATGCGCCTCTATCATTTTGCAAATTTCCTTGCGTATGGACTAATAATGCATGTCTGTTTTTGTTAGTTTCAGGTGATGTAGGATTCTGAGAAAGGGATGGAAGTAATCTAAAAAATGTTTAGTTCTATTGTATGATGAACTACTGGTCCTCTATGTAGCAAAGTTTCGTTATGTTTAGAGCCCTATGATGTAGAACATAGTTGTTTCACCATAAGCGATAGCAATAAACTTCGGTCTATCTGCATCTCTTTATTCAGATAGATGATCTTCTCCAGCTCTTCTTTTCTGATCTACATTATAAAGATGAGCTAGACCACCTTTAACATATAGTTTGTGTTCATGCATCTTTTTACTTCTTAACACCTCATTGAAGTTTTACTTGATTTTGTGGCAACATGGCATCCCTATCATGTGCAAAAAATTTATGATCAAAGTCTCATAGCTCTACTTCTCAATAATTTCTAGCAAAAGCAAAAGTTTCAAACTTTAAATGTTCACAAAAGCTTCCACAATTGCTAGCATAATAGAAATGCAAAATGATAGAGGAACATCATATTATGGTTCAATAATGTACTATATGCACACAAGACTAAGAAGAATCATAGTTGAAAGTAGGTAACTAACTACCAAATTTAGCTTGTAAAAACTTATGAAGAGTTGCCAATTGATTCCAATGCTTACTTACGTCCCTTAAAAAGCAAGGTCAGTCATCAGTAAGCTCAAGATCAAGAAACGGGTAAAGCTATATGATTCCAATTCTTTCCTGACCTTTAATCATGACAAGTAAGGGCGTCTCAATTTCGTTTGTGAATGAATTCCATTAGAGCTTGATGAAGAAGTGTTTAAGCTCTCATTACTTATTGGAGGAATTGTTACGTCCTCATTTGCAAGTTCGGCATCAAGTTGGTCACTAACTTGTTGCAAATGTAGCTTCTCCGACATTGCTAGTGCTGAATATATTTTGCTCTTTTGCCTCATATTACTCATATGAATTATCCTGCAGGGTTACTTCAAAAAATTACAAAATTATAAGATACTTAATGCAGTAGAAAGAAGCAGAAAGCATAAAATTTTATATCCAGCTTCTCTGCTAGAGGGGATTTCATCATATGAGACAGATCATTCAGTTGGCAATGACTTAATTAGCCTTTACCTTTGCTCCTTTTCTGGTTAAGAGGCAGCATTATATATAATTACAACTAATATTAACTAAAACAAGTATAACGAAACCAGAGAAACAGATATATTCCAATACTTAGGTAGCTGAATTTACAGAAACAGAGACATTCCAATACTGAAGAAACGAAAAATAACAAGACTAGCATGCATCCTAATGATACAAACGAATAATGAATGAAAAATTTGCTTAATTTTGCACCACCATGATAAAGATTTTGATTCCCGCCCTCTAACAACTCATTTAATTTTTTCTTTTCTCTTCTTAACTTACATCTTGTGCGCACTATGGTACTTACAAGATATGCCCTTTAAAGTACTGTTATTTTCTGACATCATTATATTAGTTAGCGGAGAAATCCCCGGAGAATATCATTTAATAACAACAACAACAATAATAATAATAATAATAATAATAATGCAACAGTAATGCAACAGGGGCATATGCACATTAACATTGGTCCAAGCCTTGGCAGAAAATTTTCACAAAAAATGATATGGAAAAAAAAAGTAGTTATAGTTTGAATTAGCTAATATTTTCTATGAGAAAAATATTACTAATTTAAAAGAATAATGTACTTGGGGGCGACTACAAATATCGCCACTAAAAGTGGTGCTTTATGTCGCCTGTTGAAGTGGCTGCAGTGACAATATTTGTAGTCACCACCAAATATATTTTCGGGCGCATTTGCTTGCTATTTGTGGCGATCTCTGTCGCCAAAAAGCTACTAATAAAACAATAAAATTAAAGATTCAGCGAACACCAACTTGTTCCAATAGAACCCCTAAATTCTGACATTAAGCAGCAATTAAGCGAAAGACCAACAGAAAGAGAAATTCCCAGCTACGAGATGCAGGTCGGTCATAATTATGTGTGCTTTTTTATCTTTAGTGCTTAAGTATCTTGATTAGGAAAATGCTAGAATTTTGAATTGCCTTATTCTTCCTTTTATAAACAAGCAAGTAGACATAAAATAAAATTTCTCAAATAAAGGAGGACATATCCAGATCTGAAATAAGAAAACGTGCCATTTCCTGTCAATGAACTTTTGAATTAATCATATTATATTTTCCTAACCACGATTTCTGCGCATGCTTATAGAAATTAGTATATAATATGTCAAATTGTTATAAATAATCACTTAAAAAGGTTATATAATGGTGGGGGTACTAGCGAGCTATAGTATGCATTTTAACACAAATTAAACTTTAATAGAAAATTAAGAAGGAGACGGCGAAAATGAGGAGAGGTTTGGTGATGCGCAGCTTGATGGTGGCTGCTGTTATACTTTGCAATCACCGGTCGGCTACGGCAGAAGAGGTAAACTCATGATATAAATTAGTTTTTTTCTTCTTCTTTTTCAGTGTATTATAAAGTTTCTTTCTTTCCATGTTATATACTTCAACCACAAATTATTAATTGTTCCTTCCTTTAAAACTAAACTATATTTATTATTTTTCTTCTCTTGTAACTGCTAGAACTAAAGTCAATTAAAACGATATATAGATGCATGAAATTTGATGAATGAGCAACTCACTCCATTTTCCCCCCTTACCATAAAACAGGGTTCTATTTATCTTGTTATTAGAGAAAAAAGGTAGAAAAATTAAGCTTGGGAAATTTGCTTCAATTAATCTTTTTTTTTTTTTGGGTACATGATTTCCTTGTATTATTGGTTAACTAAAAGAAAGTTGTAACTGGACTCGTTATTCTAAAAGTTCAATTACAGAATTACTTTTAAAAGTTCTATAGCAAATATAAACAGAAAATACTTATTTGCACTTGTTGTTTTCACCCAATAATATTAACTTTGTTCAGTTAATTGATAGATTGAAGAGCTTGACTATTTGACCGGGTACATTTTAACTTAGGCACTAATCGACTTTTGTATGAACTCTGTCCAAAAATTTCACTCACTTCTGCTTGGGAGGTGAGAATATATTATACCGTTAAGTGAAAGAATATAGAACTGGAATATTCGATCGGCCACGAAGAATAATGAAATCAAAGAGCAATTTTTACTAGATTTAAAGATATATTTTTGTAGGAGTTTAGTGTAATGGACCTAGTCTACCAATGTTAAAAGAATTGATTTTCCCCCCCTCATTTTTCCCAAAACTAACTCGTTTTGGTTTAATCCTCCTATGTGTTTTGTATTTTGTTGTTTATTTTTTCGAAAAATGTGAAAGAAATATGTATGTACAAATTAAATACATATGTCATGCATTCAGTAATTTGATCAAAATATGTTTGGATGTTGTCCTAAAAAAATTGGTATGTATGGATATGTAAAATAAAGGAGCAGCAAGTGGAATTAGCAGAAGTGAGCAAGAGTAACACATGGCCATGGACACTATCTGTACCCAGCGAGAATAATGATGGTTGTCATGAAATCTTCAAATGCATGGTGTACCCAAATAGAAGCTGCATAACCGAATGCTGCAAGTCATACCCCTTCAGTCTTTACCCTACAAAATTTTGCATTTGCTGGTATAGAGCCGAGCATGTGAATAAACGATCTTTTACTGCTCTGCAACAATATTGTGGCTTCAAGCAGTATGTTGTTTGTCCACGTATGCAAGTTAGTTTTCTCCCTTCTTTACATAACGAGTTTACTTTGTCTTTTTGAACAAAATCTAATTAATGCGAAGATCTTGCAGGAAATCAACATGCAGCAAGAGGTGTGTATGGGTCAGAATCCGACCCCACGATAATTAACGAGGCTAATCCCGTTTTAAGTTAATTCATGATTAATCAGTGGCACGACCACTCAGAATTGACGACGTTCAACCCGCCTCTGGCTCGGTCAACAAGGCCCTGGCCTATCCGCCACTATAGAGGCGAGATCTCAACGTGGTCACGGCCACTTATTGCCAGCTCACGAAGCCCACAGCTATAAATACCAAGAGAGGGGACCCTAGAAAAGGGGGGCTGCTTCTTCACTACTATAGACAGGAGAGAGAAGGGGGAAATATACCCATCTTATGGGAAGAGGAAAACACCATTGTAAGGCTCTGAACCTATTCATGGAGAGGCAGACCAAACAAATATTATCAATAAAGGCTTTTAATGTTTCTCCCCCTAATTCTGAGTACTTATTTTCGTTTCTTTCATTTGGTCCAATGGATTATTATGATTTGCTATGATTTTCCCGTGATTATTTGTATTGTTTTGCACTCATAAGATATGTGATAACTCTTGAGCAAACAATTTGGCGCCGTCTGTGGGGATTTCATAGCAAAATCGCGTAGTTCTTCCATGGACCAAAAGGAAAGAAACGCCGGAAAAAGAAGAAGCAGCCCCGCATAAACAAGCCAAAGCGGCAGATCTGGCCGATGGAAATCGAAGATCTCGAATCGAGATCCAGTTCCTCTGTCTCTCATCTATCGGATGGTGCAAACAAGAAGAAGAAGCCATCCCCCCTCTCTTTTGGGGAGAATCTTCGTAAGAGATCTCCCACATCCCTGATAAGGGCTCCAGCCGGAAACCAGCACGGAGGAATCTCGAATCGAGAATCGCCTCAAGGCAGCCTATAAACCCTGGTTGGGAAGACAACGGATGAGCCGCTCAAGGTCTCGAATCCAAACCGAGCTTCATCACTCAATACCCACAATATGGGACTCAGGCCGTGAGCCTTCGTCATCAAAGATCGACAAAGTTCAACAGCAGTTGAACTGGGACTTAGGCCATGGAGCCTTCGTCATCAAAGATCGAAAAAGTTCAACTACGGTTGAACCGGGACTCAGGCTATGCGCCTTCACCAAAAATGTTCGACTACGGTTGAACCAAGACAGGCTATGAGCCTTCAACAGAAAGTTCAACTAAGGTTGAACCGGGACTCAGGCTATGCGCCTTCGCCATTATATCAAGGCTATGCGCCTTCGTCAAAGAGTTCAACTACGCTTGAACCAAGACAGGCTATGAGCCTTCAACAGAAAGTTCAACTACGGTTTAACCGGGACTCAGGCCATGAGCCTTCGCCGTCAAAATTGACCAAGTTCAACCCCGGTTGAACCAAGACAGGCTACGCGCCTTCACCAGAAAGTTCAACTACAGTTGAACCGGGACTCAGGCTATGCGCCTTCGCCAGAATATCAAGGCTATGCGCCTTCGTCAAAGAGTTCAACTACAGTTGAACCAAGACAAGCTATGAGCCTTCAACAGAAAGTTCAACTACGGTTGAACCGGGAGTCAGGACATGAGCCTTCGCCGTCAAAATCGACCAAGTTCAACTATGGTTGAACCAAGACAGGCTACGCGCCTTCACCAGAAAGTTCAACTACGGTTGAACCGGGACTCAGGCTATGCGCCTTCGCCATTATATCAAGGCTATGCGCCTTCGTCAAAGAGTTCAACTACGGTTGAACCAAGACAGGCTACGCGCCTTCACCAGAAAGTTCAACTACGGTTGAACCGGGACTCAGGCTATGCGCCTTCGCATGCGCCTTCAACAGAGAGTTCAACTACGGTTGAATCGAGAAGGCTATGCGCCTTCACCAGAAAGTTCAACTACGGTTGAACCGGGACTCAGGCTATGCACCTTCGCCATTATATCAAGGCTATGCGCCTTCGTCAAAGAGTTCAACTACGGTTGAACCAAGACAGGCTATGAGCCTTCAACAGAAAGTTCAACTACGGTTGAACCGGGACTCAGGCTATGCGCCTTCGCCATTATATCAAGGCTATGCGCCTTCGTCAAAAAGTTCAACTACGGTTGAACCAAGACAGGCTACGCGCCTTCACCAGAAAGTTCAACTACGGTTGAACCGGGACTCAGGCTATGCGCCTTCGCCATTATATCAAGGCTATGCGCCTTCGTCAAAGAGTTCAACTACGGTTGAACCAAGACAGGCTACGCGCCTTCACCAGAAAGTTCAACTACGGTTGAACCGGGACTCAGGCTATGCGCCTTCGCCATTATATCAAGGCTATGCGCCTTCGTCAAAGAGTTCAACTACGGTTGAATCAAGACAGGCTATGAGCCTTCAACAGAAAGTTCAACTACGGCTGAACCGGGACTCAGGCCATGAGCCTTCGCCGTCAAAATCGACCAAGTTCAACTACGATTGAACCAAGACAGGCTACGCGCCTTCACCAGAAAGTTCAACTACGGTTGAACCGGGACTCAGGCTATGCGCCTTCGTCATTATATCAAGGCTATACGCCTTCGCCAATAGTTCAACTACGGTTGAACCAAGACGGGCTACGCGCCTTCACCAACAAGTTCAACCACAGTTGAACCAAAACAGGCTACGAGCCTTCGCCACCAAATTTAACAAAGTCCAACAACAGTCGAACTGGGACTCCGGCTGCGTACCTCCGCCAATAAATCCAGCCACGGTCGAACCTAGACTCAAGCTACGGGCCTTCGCTATTGAATCCAACGAGCTCGACCTCGCTCGAACTACAAGAATGGACGCCTTCGTCCTCAACTTTAGCAAGTCCAACCACAGTCGAACCGAGACTCAGGCCAAACGCTTTCATCTGTGAAAGCAAAGCCCGACCTCTAACAAATCAAAGCGCAGGATAGGCACCCTCGCCATTTCAAGTAAGTTCCCCCAACTCGAATTAAGATTCGGGCCACGTAAAGTTCGGCCCAGTCAAACTACGAGGCCGCGCTTTTTACTATCACGACCGGTAGTTCGACCGCGCCCGAACTGGGACTAAGGCTAAGCGCCGCTATCGCCAAATAACGGCCAAGGCTCGCCCGCACCGAGCTGAAAAAGCAAGGCCATCAACTATATTATGGCTAGGGCCATCGCCGCCAACGGTCGACCTAGATTCGACTACGGTGAGTAAACGACCCGACGACGGTCGAAGTTGCCTCTATGGCTAAGGCCGTCGATTCTATCACGACTAAAGTCGTCGAGTTAAATTCGACTAGGGCTGCCAACGTGAACGGTCAACAAAAAGCGCAACAAAAACTCTAAAGAACGAAAGAAAAACAGTGACAAAAAACAAGCACAAGGCAGGCGATGGAAAAGAAAATTTGTATATTTACAAAGTCAATTGCGGGTCATCCCCGCTTACACCCGGCCAAGGCCGATCAATACAAGAAATAAAAATAATAATAATACAAGAAACGCCTAAAACGCCAAGCAGCGAACAAGACAAGAAAAAATGCATAATCTTTTTACTCGGTGCCGTCTGCGCCACCGTCTGCACCAGCGTCAGCCTCTGGCGTCGCCGCGTCAAAACCACAATCGGCACGTGCCTCACGAGCCTTCTGACGTGCCCCCTCGAAAGCAGCCTCGGTCACGACTCCAGCCTCCCACAAACTCTTATATACATCACGTTGGGCCTCGGCAAAGACCCAAAGTTCCCGAGCCTGGCTGGAAGAAGCGGCCTGATCCCGTAGCCGCTGATTCTCTTCTTCTAAGGCTGTGATCCGGTCCGCCATGACCTGGGCGTCCTGCTCAAAGACACCAATCCGCTCCTCGAGACTCGCCTCTCTAAAGGCCGCAGCATCCCTTTCCAATGCCCGTTGGGATTCGTGCACGCGGATAGCCTCCTCCAACGCCCCGGCCCTCGACGAAGCATCCCTCACTTGAAGCTTCAATGCCGCGACCTCACCCTCCAACGCGGTCACTTTCCCGCTCCATGCCGCAGCGGCCTCCGCCGCCTTGGCCTCGCCCCGGCGTTCGCACTCAGCTGCGACCCTCTTCACCGCTTCGAGCTCCTCATCCTTTCGGCGGAGCTGCTCCTCGAGAGCACTCGTTCGGCCAAGTATTTGCTGCATCTGAAGCTCCCGCCTCGCCAGCTCTTCGACCAAGGCCCGGCTGCGAGGATCATTCCTCAAGCGCACGCGCAACTCTCGGCACTGATCTCGGTAGCGGCGATACTTCTCCAGCGCCCGCAAAAATATCCCCGAGCGGACCTTGGCTCGACGGATGCTCTCCACCTACAACTGATAAGACTGCAAAGCAAAGACAACGATTAGAATAAAAGAATAAACCTAAGGCAAAGAAGAAGCGAACCGACGTAACAGTACATACCCTCAAGCCCATCACGGCTACCTTATTCATTAGCCCGACATCCGTAACGCCCCTCAACGACGCATTCTCGGCCTCCGAGCATAGCAGCTCGAACTGTGGCACCAAGCTTTCCCCTTGGAGCAATAAGTTCAATTCCGTGGGAACTTCGATAAAGCGAGATCGCCCCCCTGCACGCACCGCTGAATTGGTGAGCCTTCTTGGAACATACGGACGTCGTCGGGATCCAATTCGGATTCGGACTCATCCTCACCCCTACAGCATCTCCTCCCGCCGCAGCCGCTGAAGGAGCGCTGGGCTCACCCACACTAGCAGCCGCTGAGGAACTACCTCCCGTTTCAGCGACTGGAACCACCAATTGAGTCGCCGAAGCGACGGTATCATCATGGCCTAAGCCAACCGGTCCAACCCCCATTGTTTGTCCACCCTCGAGGGCAGGCGCCGCAGCCACACTCTTCTCCGCGTCCGCCGGGGGGGGAGTCCAAATTAATTACCACAGGAGGAGCCGGCGCGAACGCGACCCTACGCCTTATCAACGGCCTCTCCTCCTCCCCATCTGATGACGATTCCGCTCTAGGGCGCGCAACCCCCGATGGCTTCATCCCGAAGTAGGGTCCGTGATGGAGAAGACACCGCTGAAGACTCGACTGATGCCGCCCTCGGTGTTGAGCACGACACCGGCGCTGCAGTAAGCCGAGCAACTGCACCAGGCCGACGGAAGGCCAGCTGAGGGGCCCTGACGCGGCGTGCCCTCCCTAATCACAAGAAAACAAGGTTGATGAATAGAGTTGAAACAAAGCAGAACCTAAGAAGAAATCAATTTTTTACCTGCCACGGGCCTACGGCCATGCCTCTCCCAGAAAGATGCCCATGTGCGTATCCCCCGCGTATGAGGGAGTACGGCCTCGACCCACTCACGTATCCAAGACAA